CCTCAAGGATCTTTTAAGGCTCAAGTAGGTTCATTTATGGGGAAATGCACAAAACATGGTAAAGCACTTAATACACAGCCTTGGCTCATACCTTATAGAATACAGAATAAAATGCAAATAGAATATGGTTTGAAAAGTCTGTAATCTGTCAGGCTGAAAAGTTCAGTTTTGGACCAAACAAAATCCAGTGAGGAGAATCTAGCCCAAATAACAGAATCCAAAACTGTTCTCAGGACCAAAGTACTGTTGGCAGAACTGTATTCTTGTCTGCAATTGCCTCTTCCCCTGCTGCAACTTCAGTCTTTAGAACACACACAAACACACACACAAACCCAGGGTTTCTGTTCAAGGATCTTCCATTTGTCTAGCTTGACCTTCAAACAATTCCTTAAGGTCATGAGAACTGTGGGGTGATCACTATTTGAAAAATCTCCTAATTTTCATTATAACTAGGCAGAATCAACATACCTGAGAAGTCTGGTCAGTGGCATTTTCCACTCTAGAAAATCATTTTAAGTTGCAAACTCAAAAGAGTACTATTAATATGCACTATGATAATAATGACAAGCATGAGTAACTTAATAAATAATAATATGCCATAATGTAGAATCAGACAAAATGATCTTGGGAATAGTGGAATGTAAAAAAAAAAAAAAAAAAACCTTCAGAACTCAACATACATGTAAGAGGGAAGAGAAATCATTACCTCTGTTTTCCCTCATGGCCAAAACATTTGGATCCTGTTAAGGAAAGAAAAACCAGAATAGAAATATTTTACGACAATCAGACAGAAATGGCAGCAGTGTCCTGAGCCAGCTGAGTTATATAACATTCAACGTGTTTCCACTCCAAGCAGTTCAAGCCAATCCAAGTGAGACAGAAAAGCAAGTAGCTAGATTTCTTCATCTTTTTAGGAATGGCAATTACAAAATGTCCAGCTGGCAATAAGAGAAAGATGATATGAAATAAAGGCCATACAGGGTTCGAATGTGCTCTTTTGAGGAGCCCTGAGTGAGTTAAATGACAAAAGCCACTGTATTTTATTAAAGAACTATAAGATTGTTGAAAGCTAGTATTGGAGAAAGTGGTACATGTTTTGCTCCAGTTTTAATTAAAGTGCATTAGGGAACAAAGGAACCACCTCTGCAATAGATGCAGAGGACAGCAATAGCAGGTCCAAAGCTGTTCTCAAGTCCTTTGATTCTTCCTCTCTCAGAAGACAGAACTTTGTGTGTGTTACACAGCCTCTCCAACATCTCTGAACCAGAGATTGCACAGTTTTTTTTTAACTACATCTTCAGAACCCCCCTCCCAGTTTGGCCAGAATTATGAACCATAGTCCGAAAAGGTATCTTTTTCAAATTCTGCCCTAAACTAGTCCATTACTATGAGGCATGATAGTGGACCCTTTCCCTTTGCCAGTGCTAAGGAAAGGTCCAGCTTCTAGGCCAGTCCGCTTAAGCACCAAAATGTCTTGGCCTAGGCCCGGTTTTAGTTACTCATAGGTCCTTTTTTTGCTCAACTTGTTTATCTGCCAAGTTTGGGCTTGGCCCTTCATGCCATTCATTTATATTAGCAAAACAGGGAAGTCTTATGCATATTTACACAGAAGTAAGTTTCACTCTTTTCACTGGGCTCACCCCTAGTTTCAGTTACTGATCCTCAGCCAATTCACATCCTTCAGATTAGTGAACCCATTGCACGTTTACCATGTTTTCCCAGTAAGCCCTATAAAATGTAAAGCAGCAACACATATTAGTTCACTGTGTACATGCTAAATACAAGGTGCTGCTCACTGGAACGTGTGACTGCAGGCAACACACAGTAAATACACAGTGAAATATGCCACAGAGCTGTTCTCTGATAGTTTGCTCTGAAAAGCACAATAGACATTTGTTTTGTTATTTTTCTAACAAGGAGAATGGTCCTTGTTCTACAATGTTCTTTATTTTTATTGTTTTGTAAGAAAGATCATTTTTAAAAGTTAAATATCAGATCATGCTTTTTTAACAGGTAGGGTAATCTTTATTATGGTTTTTTGTGGGTTTTTCCGGGCTGTATGGCCATGTTCTAGAAGAGTTTCATTCTGACGTTTTGCCAGCATCTGCGGCTGGCATCTTCAGAGAGTTTTCTCTGAAGATGCCAGCCACAGATGCTGGCGAAACGTCAGGAAGAAACTCTTCCAGAACATGGCCATACAGCCCGAAAAAAACCCACAAAAAAAACTATGGATGCTGGCCATGAAAGCCTATGACTTCACAATCTTTATTATGATTTTTTAAAATCATGTTTTAATTATATTTATTCTTATATGTTTTTAACCATTTATTAGCACACTAGCATTATCTCAAAAGATGGTGCACAGGAAGATTGAATCTACTCTCTTTATGGTTTCAGCTTTAGTTTTGGTGTTCAAATTAGAACTCACAGCTTCCTGCCTTAAATCTCAGCTTCTTACCTTCTGGATTTTGGGCTGCATGCGGGATGGACAAGGTGGTAGTTGATTCAGGGCTCCTGTGATCTCCTGGGACTCGACAGCAGCCAAAGCATTGCAAATGGCCATGACAGATTGGACCACTCGCTCCGCCTTCAGCTGGAAGTCTCCCTGGGTGAAGAATTCAAGAAGTTTTCATGTTTCAAGATACCAGCAGATGGGGCCAACAGACATGACTATTAAATACATCTTTGCATTTAACATCCAGTTTTTAATATAATGCAATTTGTGCCAGCTGGATGACTTGATAATTATCCAGATCTCAGCAGGTGTGAAAGGGAATTTAACCCTTACTTCCACTGCTGTGGTTCCTGGTATTGGTGAAACATTTAATCTGAAGCTGGTGTCTCTATAGGAAAGAAATCCCCATATAGGACCAAACTGAGGTATTTTTTCCCACAATGCAAATATTAGCTTCAAAGAATGCTTCCTAACCAGGACTCCACTAGGGAAGAAAATAGTTAAATTATCTACCTCAAGATATCTAGGTAAATGAGATTATCAATGCCATCACAAACCAGCTCATTAGCTGCTTCAAATGTGTTTGGCCAGTCACAGAATCTTAAAGCTGGAAGGGACCACTAGGCCATTCAGTGCAACTCCCACCATGCAAGAATACACAATTAAAACACTCCCGAAAAATGCCCATCCAACCCCTGTTTAAAGACTTTAAAGTTCACCACACTCCAAGGCAATCTGTTCCACTGCTGCACAGCTCTTACAATAAAGAAGTTTAGGTGGAATCTCTGTCTTGTAATTTGGATCCATTCATTCATGTTCTAATTTCTGAAGCATCTCCTTCTTCTACATGAAATCACTTTTGATATTTAAGTCATCCAGTCTTGGATGAAACCGATTATCT